ACCTCGCCGATTTCTGTAAAACCGCCGAGGTACTAGAGACTATACAGTCAATTGATACTATTGGATTCGTTTATGTTCTCATAGAAACTTTAGACAACAAGTCTTGACGCTCATCACGCTCGGCAATGGCTTCTCCACTCCAGCCTGGTCCAACATCTTGACATACTCTTACTGGAAACTTTCTTGTCCAGGGCCCAAATCCACCTTCATGTTCTATGCAGCTATCCTGTCCCTTTACCATCCTGAATGAATGATCGTCTTCAACAAAATGGGGCGCTAACCCTAATAGTAACTACTTCACTTCAGCGACTTCATCCCGTGATTTCGTTCTCAAATACTGAATACGACCGTTCTTCTGTCTAGACTCATGTCCAGCGACGACGTGATACTGCGTCACTCCTGATGCTCGTATGCGCACGTTTCTTGGTGCGGGCTCGTGATTCTGATACCCATGGCCTACCCGAGGTCTAATGACCTACTCACAGAAGAGTGCTCTAATAAGCAATCGCGGGGAAGTGGACCGTCATTATTACTAGTAGAGAGGGTCTGCGCCTCGAGAATTGTACTGGATCCCAATAGTATCGGAGAGTGAGCCGAGTCTAAGAATTAGAGCATTTATGCTAGCTCTTGAATTAATTGGAGACTTGATAGATGTCTGGTATGTATTCATAGAACGTGCCGATCGTTCTCACATTGCGCAGACCTGATAGTGGCCCGTGGGCCTCACTGTCAGGTGGCTTTCATTCAGAATAGAGACTTTAATTAAGTACCCGATGGAAAGGCGCGCCCCTTGAAGGGATTCACTAATGTTCCGCATAGATTCCGGCATCGAGAGCAAGGCCTTGGGATCTAAGCTGGATTATCAGAGGTATGTACTAGATGGAGAAAGGCTACCTACCGTAAACCGGAAAAACTATTACACACTTGCGCTAAACCGTCATGTGATCGTCCCAGTTCCGCCTTTGTACAAAGCTCGTACGCCAGGTTTGTCTATTCTCGTTTGTGTGATCACCATACCAAAAAAATTCGCAAGTCGCGGACTTTCACGAAGGCCCGTAGATTTAGTGGCGTTGACATATGATGGCATGAATCTCTCTCGCGTTGTATATCTTCCAGTCCTAATTCAATGGTTCCATGTGAACCGGGGCTATCCGTGCGAATAATAGCCTGGAGACCCAATCGGGGCCATTTGGCCCGATACTGTCCTGACGGATTTACATCGCGGGCGTTCATACCCCAAACAGGGTATGTTGATCATCTTTTTATAAGAAAAGCGCTGCTTCTCCCGCGAAAGTGGGTGTGGGGATTATAAGTATATCCAAATGCCACCGGATGTCCGAGGAGTTTAGAAAGCTTGATAATGCCTAGCACAAGTCCGGACCGCCAGTCAGAGTTTGCGCACGGTCTTACTACATGTAGTTAGAAACCTGTGCGCTTGATTGACCGTAGTAAGGCCTCAACTGTCTACGTTAAGTACTCCAGGATCATATTTACTATAACCTTCTCTATCCCATTTAATATTGGGATACCGCCAGTGCTACTGACTAGGGAAGCTTGAAGTAGCTTATATGTGGTCAATAACAGATGGATATGTGTCTGTTAATAACTACGAGAACATCCCCGATGTACCATCCCGATAGCCATGGCAAAAAGAAGCGCGTCCAAATCAAGCGTCGGAGTCACTGGGCCTCAATGTCATCGCAAAACGGCGTTGTACCCCCTAGACTGGGTCGGTCTCGGCGTACATGCAAAGCATAAAATCAACATTGTAGCCGCGACCCCGACCAACCCGAGTCCCTGATCGTAGGAATACATCAAAGCGTAAGAGTCAAAGAACGAGCCGCCCTGCACCATCTGGTGTGATATTTTTGGTGTGGATCATGCGGCAAGCACCCACGCTCGCCAGAGTAACCGTCGGGATTGATAGGCGTCGTGCTATGTATTATTCAGCCGACTTTGCTTTATTTTCATGGACATTCTAGTACATTCTTTAATAGTTGTATAAAACCTCGGATGTAGAGCGGAAACCCTTGTTCGTTTGCCTCCAAAGGGTTCCCTGTCGCTTAGTATACACATTCTTTATCGAACATCTGAATAGATGACAAATTTCAACGAACCAGCCCGAGTCCCCCATTTTAGGAATATATCGAAAGGTATGGGTTAAATGAAGAATCTGAGTCGCCCTGCACCAAGAATCAAAACACCACTGTGCCCACATAATCATGTAGGTAGCCGATAAGTAGAAAAGATTAGGGCAGTGCACCAAACCTAGGTTTCGGTACGCTGGGGTTTAAAATTTTATCGGTAACATACCAATCGTGTGATTGTCAGCTAAGTATTACAATTATATGTATATTCTTGTACAAGATAGAGGTAGATATATCCAGTACTCCCAGATGTAAATTCTCTCTCGACAGAGACAAAACGACTAAAACATGAATATACAAAATCTGAAGAAAAATCTGCACTTGCCGCGCGGCCGTCATGTGAGTGTGCACCCGATAGGTAAGTTGCCGTAACCCCTGGGGAGAAGCCAGTAACAAACTGTTACTTACCCCCCCTCGAAGTTTCGTGCGCAACCCTAGAAAAGATACTACCCGACATCGTGTGCTTGAAGATTATACGGCCCGAAAAATCGAGGTAATGAGAATGCATAAGCAGGACATCGAACCCTGAACACGGCCGGCATTCTTTCAATAGATCTCATGGAAGGAAGGAAGGATATTCTATTAGTCGTTGGTGCTCCTGAACAGAAACGTAACGACGTCCCTACTACAGTTAGATCGGAAAACAGCATGTTAACCATTACACCGCTAATGCAGGTTCAACGGACGCAGGTATATCGTGTTATCAACACCCTGAGATTTCACCTCCGCAACTGCGTTCCCGACGTAAATGGAAAATACACATTCAGACGCGTACCTAGGTTGAAATCGTGGGATTTGTGCTCTCCTCCGAAGGCGTACGTTTTACCTTCATGCCGCTTTCTGCGTTATCAGACAGCAGCTGTGTGAACTAGTGAGGACGTCCGACAATGATATTGTCAAGCGGGCCCCTCGCGTGACGTCTCTCGGAAATTATCGAGTTACAAACCAGCTCGGCGGTTAACGTTCACCGGCAGTGTTGGTCTTACGCGGCGTACAGGATGCTGATAAAATATAGGATTGATATTTAGTGGGTCACAAATACTATTGGACGTCGTTCATCAGTGATGTGTACAGGCCGCAGAGGTATCATGATACAATGATACTCACCTTTCGCAACTACCATTTACCGACGAGAAACTATGGGTTATTTATTGTCAGGATCAGTGCTAACTACTCTTGTGTTAGCTTTAGTTGCTTCTGAGTACCTGGGAGATTAGAACCGAGCCTTGAGTCCATACGTGGCGTTAGGAGCGTACGTACAGTCCGGTTCTCCGTGATCACGTGCGCTATGTCTTTAGTTTCCCGCTTCAAGCTTGTCCATAGCTACACCTGCGATTATCACTAGGGATTCCTGATTCCCTCTCATAGACCCAGCGATACGGTTCCAGCACCGGAGCCATGATACCTGTAGTAGTCCCCTGGCACCGCAAAACAGTATCGTACCATCAAGGCATGCATGCAATAAATTATAAACCTTTGTAGAATTATCAATGTACACGAAGAGACGAAGGACCGCAATCTACCAATCCTCTTCCCTTCCCACAGTCGAATTTGACGAAAATCATGCAAAGGAAACGAAGAATCCGAGTCGTCATTGATACCTAGGACCGAGAATCAGACACTCCAGCGGCGAGCTACCTCCATTGCATAGCGAGACAGATACCGCGTTACCAGACAGAATTTATCGAATCTCGTGGTAGCGATGCAGCTAGCCTGACTGATGCAGGTACAAAGTCAGGACAGATACTACTGACTTGAAGTTCTAGTGATTTGAACGGCCCGCTTCCTCAAACAACGAGCCCAATCCTTGAACCCAAGCCCTACCTTGCACTGGGCTGGTGCTTGTAGCGTCGAGGAAGCAGTCCGTATCTGAGTCCCACTGACATACCTATTTGTAAAGAAGAAGTTTATTGGTACATAGTCAATAAGGCAACTAGGTCTATATCCTGCTGGCAGTGTTAATATTCAACTAGCCTTTTACTCTCGGGTGCCTGCAAAAGTGGAAGACAGCATCAGCGTCTGCAGACGTCGACAATACACGAATCAGATCCAAGATCCGAGTCATAGCACGATGAACCCTGAGTAGACGACCCGTCAAACGCTCTCACAAACGAAACGAACAGACACTAGTACTAGAAAGCATCTATGTATCAATATCAGCCGAGTGTAGGACACAATAGCGCACTGAAGCTCAAATATTAAAGTACGAGAGCATCAAAATGGACCCGGCGCTGCGAATCAAGGACTTTGGGGAGGTCGGAGTCCTTGTCGGCATAACACGAAAACGCCACACGTTCTAGTTCCGAGGTGAGTTATTATACAGCAAGACATTGCTTGCCGAACACTTACAGGAGGGCAAGTCCAGCATTAAATTAATTTTCAATCGACCCAAGCCCACCCAAAATGCATCAGGACCAACCAAACGCAAGAAAACCGCAAAGATGCCCTGAGAAGAATGCGAAATTCTCTCCGCCCGTGATGAAGCTAGCTTAACCGGTATTGACAGGATATTGATACACAGTCAAGATAGATATCACTGACCCGAAGTTCCAGTGACTTGAAAGGCCCGGATTCCCTAGTAGCAATCCGTGACGTTTTAAATTCATCCGTACGCGTCCCCCAAGTTAATGTGCAGACCTTGTTGGAAGTTGGAAGAGCACGCGTCCTATAACTCATAAGCAACACCGGGGTAAGCGTATGAACGAGTAGGTAGGCATTTTGCTTGTACTTTGACAGCGCAGTTCCGGGGACCTAATCTCAGGGACCTCCCCTCTTCGTATATCGGATTACAATACCAACTCGCTTTGATTTTACCCTGAGATTCCAACATCATACGATATAAGTATATAGGAAGCACTAGTGGTGTAATGGTTAACATGTGGTCTTTCCATAGACATTCCGGAATATTCTTTGGCGGCATTCGGGGTTCGATTCCCCGCTAATGCAATTCCTCTTCAATGTCCATTTTATCACATTCGTGGCTCGTGTGTTAGGTTTGGGGAAGACCCGTGATAGTAGTGATCATTGAGCCTTCGAACCGGGGGAAGGCGCTCAACTTGATGAATGGTTGTATTTCAGTAGGATTCAGACACGGACTACTCATTACGACAGCACGTTTCGGACTATTTCATGCAAGTGGTGGTCGGATAGCAGGGTACTAGTACGCGATATGGGCCAAGCAGAGACCGTCCCGTCCTGCCAAACCGATTCTCGGGCCAGCCGCCATGTCTTAGCGCACCATCCATCAAGGAAAAATACGCCAAATTCTCTCGGCCCGTGATGAAGCCAAGTCAATACCACTGACATGAAGTTGTACCGATTTGAAAGGCTCGGCTTCGTCAAAGAACGAGTGCGATCCTCGAGGCGCCGTATCGTCAAAGAAGCCCGCGTTTGATAATACAACCGCTTCATCCTCGAGCGCCTTTTCTCGATTTGAAATTGAACGGTACGTACTGCTATCGTGGGTCCCCGAAACTGTCGACGTGCAAAGAAGAACACACGTTGGTACATACGGCATGTGTAGTCAATAACGCAGCTGCATTCTAGTCCAATCAAAGTATATCTGAGTCGAAATTCTCTGGACCCGTGGGCCATTATGAATATTGCCTGACTGATACAGATTTAGGGTTGCGCACAAAACCCCCAGTTTTGATACACCCCAGTTTCGGACCGGTAAGTTACCGGTAAGAAACAGGTAAGAAACCACAGGTCAGTGAAGCATATTTCATTGAGGTAACTTACCGACCACGTGACAGGGAGAAGGATTCTCAGACTTAGATATGTATAAAGATGTAGCCAGAGAATTCTGATGGATATTGGAACAGAATTCATGAGTATTTGAGGTACGACAATGGGGCAGTGTAGCGTCATGGCGTCGTACAGAAAAAATTTGGAAAAATGGCTCTGTGATGGTCACGTGAATATGTCACGTGTCCGGTAAGAAACGGTAAATTACCATACCGGTAAGAAACCCCCCAGGGAGGGTGGGTACAAAACGGTATCAACCCCCCCCCTGGAGGTTTCGTGCACAGTTCTAGTACGTAGTTGGTCGATAACGCAGTTAACTGCTCACCTAGTCTGTCACTGCACCCCATTCTTGTTCCAGGCAGAGTACATCATAATTCATGAGTGCACCGTACACTCACAATCCACGAATGTGTTTAAAAAAAGGCACTCAAGCTAGCAATTGCATCAGCGGGGAATCGAACCCCAAACGCGGCCAGCAGACGATCTGAGAGAACGATGGGAAGACCACATGTTAACCATTACACCACTAATGCATCCGTACGTAGAGAATACATACTCATACGTATCGCAGCATCAGGTTCTGCGAATATTAGTGTAAAGTGAAAGCAAGCTATTATCGTATCCAACATACGAAGGGAAAGACCCCGAGATTGTGCCCCCGAAACTGTGTTGTCCAAGTATAAGGAAAATACATACACATTTATGCGCTTACCCCCGGGGTTGCGCTTATAGGACTTGTGCTCGCCTAAGTTCCAACAAGGTCTGCCACATTGACTTCGGACGTGTTCGAATGAATACGAGTCGCACCTGCCTGTCACAAGGCCGTCAGTGTTCGCGGTAGCAGCTACGCGGAATGCCGAAGACAACGATATGGCCCACGCAGACCCTCCGTGCGTCGACTGGTGGATAATCTCGGATCATGTCCTAGCGCACCATCCCTCAAGCAGCTTCTGCACTGGTATTGGTACAGCAATACAGGATACGGATACAATATAGGATTGGCATTTAACACATCACAGATCCTACTAGACGTCGTTCATCAATGATGTGTACGAAGACATTATGATTCAACGGCGCTTACCTCTCGCAAAAGTATGCAATCACAAGCTGATGAGAAACTATGGATCATTCTCAGGATTGGGGGTAGCAACGAGAGAGAGACCGGGCACCTGTACTGGCGGTAAGCTTGGACGCAACCCCAGGGACTAAGCTATGAGAATATATCATTAGCGAAAACAAAAAGGAAGCCGAATCGTGCTCACCTAGCCTCTAAACCGTATCCGGCAAGTCGGCCAAACACTTCCTCACTCTCTCCAGCACCTCTAACCTCTCATACACCAACCTCCCACATCCCCCACATTTCTGCAACAAACAACTCTCCATCTGCTCCCACTCCTCAATCTCCAACGAACACAACTTATCCCCAGACGGCCTGGTGTCCATCTCCCAGAACATCCTCCACACCAGCGCAGACCACGCCGACCCATCCACCGCATTCCCACACCCCGCACACCTCGCGTCGTTCTCCATACCTATCCGAAACTCATCCCGCCGCTTCCGATGAAACTTGAACAGCTTCACCAGCGCCCGCGTCGGGATCCGCCGGAGCGCATCTTGGTGCTGCTCCTCGTGGAGGGACAACTCCAGCGTATGCTTCGATGCGAGCTCCGCTTCCACTTCCCACCCGAACCTCGTCGCTATCGCATACACCCGGAGCGGCTCCCTCAGGAACATCGGCGCAGTGATCGACGCACGCACGATGTCCACCGCACCCCTCGCTCCCCACGTCTCAGCTAGACTGAGCACACCCTCGAGGTCATCAAACGTGCGCCACAGAGGGACGGCCAGACCACTGAGGATGCGCAGCAGTCGCTCGAGGACGGCATCGTGTTCGTGGATGGGGATGGGCTTGCTGTTTGGTTCGAACATGAAAGAGTGGGACGCGAAAAACGTGGTGGTCCTTCGCAGGACTGAGGATGGGAGACGGTATAAGGTGCCGTCAAGCGAGGATAAGATGGCATCGGCATCTGAGGTGTTGAAGGTGGGATGATATGTTGCTGCGAGTTCTTGGGACGCCATCGTGGAAGCAATGAAGGAAGAAAGTACTGATGGCGCAGGGTGAGCATGTGTTGATGGAATGGTTGCCGCATGCTCGTTCCGGTATTCCGAATCGCATCAACGTGAAGAAATGTTGTTGCTAGTTTCGACGCAGGAGGAAGGTCCGTGGAGCTAAACGCTGCCTAACCTGTCCTAACCTAGAGGTTTAAGGATAGGATAGCATGACTGCAAAAATTCACGGACCAGAGCGCAAGCATCCCCAGCAGGGCCTATACGTCAGATCCTCAAATAGGATCCGGGGTTGGACTAACCAAATCTTTCTGACATGGCCCTTTTGTATCCAGAGTCCACTATCCGAGAGTTGAGCCACGTATATCAAATCAGCAGCGATACATTGTCGACAGGGTATTTTCTGCACCCGAATATCCGTCACGGAGAAGGTGACTCCACTGCGAGAAATACTGCCCTGTGCCCCGAGCAAGTTGTTGATGAGGTCGAGGAACGAGCGCTGACCTATCAAATCCATCAGGAAAGGAATACAACGGCAGGACACGTCACGTACTCATCCAACCTTATGTGTACCCCAGGGCTATCCCAGGCGAGTCATGACTTGTCGCCGCAAAATCGAGTCCCCATCCATTTCCTTCCTTCAATAATGTATTCGAGGGCGGCGACACCAAAGCCAGAGCGCTGATAGGCGAGATGAGAGACGGAAGGAAGGATACGATGATGCTCTAACCTCAAGAAAACCGCGTCGATACCACCAAGGAGCGACGGGCATCGAGTATAGCCACAGAAAAACTGTTTTCCAGTGAGTTTGAGCACTTGAAGACGGCTGGAAAACGGGAATCTACCTGTCGAGCTTCATAAAATCGTTTCAGGTCATTTTCATGCGTCCATTCTCTTCCAAAGGCTATCCCTCTGTGGGGAACATCCAATAAAGATCCCATAGAAGCACATATAACAGGGTTCGATGGGGAAAAGCGAGAAAAAAGCGTCAATCGAAACCATGATAATTAGTCATAAACAATGGAGTCGTGGGAACAGATATTCACGTGGTGCTGAAAATAGCTCCGGAGATCGGGCCGACTTCTCGTTGCACCCTCGCGAACCAATGTTTTATCATCTCGGCGATCGACTTCATCTCAATGGGACGAAACTTTAATGCAGGCATCCAGCTGCAATTGATGGAGGCCTATATCGGTCCCTGAAAATATCATCAGCAAAGCGCCTTGAGAACTCTTCCTGTTTGACTTGGGCCCGTACCATCTCATTCTACCGTTCACGAAACAAGGGGATACTGCTGAAATGAACACACATTAGGCTCCCAACTCCTCACAGCTGTAACAGTCTCTACAATGACGTCTTTCAGAGCTGGCGACTCAAGTAGGTTACCGTCTTCACATGTACCCAACTGCGTAATAATATTTGTCGGTTGTTTTCAGTCTGACAGGGTCCACATCTCTGGAGATCAATCATTCAATATCCTCAGAAACTGTGACGACATACACATTCCAGGAATCTCAACATATCCGCACATATCATCTTTTCTTATCACGATGCCAAGAGCAAAAGGTCTCTGCCTCTCGCTCTCTCATCTGTAGGACCACTCTCTCCAGGATACTCCACTTTTAATCTGTATAGCTCCCGCTCAGTAGTACAATGCCGACCTGCCAGCTTCAGGATCGGTGAATACCGGCTTGAAAAGTCATCCCAGATGTTATGAACACGACCTCGCTCTTCAAGCGGCACGTGAATAGAGCGGGACCTGGTACACTCACGCTGGTGTCTTCTTTATACGACTAAAAACCCCGTATCAGCTTTTATACCAAATGACAGGCTTAAGCCGAAAGACAATCACAAGGGCAGTGATCGTTCTCGAAGTATCATCTATCCTTCTCCTGCATTGCTGACATCGTTCAAATGGAAGAGAGAATGTTGGTTTTGTAAGTCTCATCTCTACAGTCATATCTTTTGTAACACGTCTAACCAGGCTGGAACTCCATGAACAATGCACTTTACAAAGCCGCCCATGACTACCGTACTATCCATTGTGAGTCCATGCTTCTGCACAGAAGCTGAGCTGGAGGCTGGGACGGCGGAAAAATGCAGCTCATATGGGAAAAGACCAGCTAGATCAGCAGCCATCATCACATTGATACCAAATTCTATCATCTGCTCTAGTACGACGTCCTCGACGCGTTAGTCGCGTACTATACGGATACCACTATGTATCCATCTCTGACGGTGATGATCATACACCAGAGACAAACATCACCGCTCATCCCTCCAAGGTCATCGCCGTCGTCCCTGACGTCCAAATGACTCTGCTTTGAGGATATCAACTAACAATGCTGACCCGCCACATTTCCGGATCGGTAAGTCAGCTTTCCAAACGAACCATCATGAACATCCTAAACCTCCCGAAAGATAGCAAACCCAGGAACCCTCCGCTAGCTCACGTCTGATCGTCCGCTTCCCAACGACGAATGTGGAGACTTTCACAAATTCAAGTACGGGCTGAAACGCGAATCTCACATATACTCTACGAGGGAGTCCTGAGAAACACTCACAAAGAATTGTCATGACGTTCTGCTTCCACGCTGTCCCCCGAGTCCCAGTCCGAATCCGAATCTAATGTTCCCCATCCGTCTCGAATCCTTTCTGTTCAAACGCAGCCCTGGCCCTGCTCTAGTTCCCCGTCGACTGCTGCTCCAAATATCGACCCACACAATTCCAGGTACTTCCCAACTCCCACCACTGTCCACCGCACTAACATTTATGCCCAACCTTGAAGGTACCCACCAACTACTCGAATGAAGATGGCGACCAATCTGTTCTTGCGGTCATCAAGGTTTAACGCGTAATCCGAAACCAAAATACAAAGGCGCTACACTGATGACTCCGGGAGACCCTGGCCCCAGTGGAATCACTAACCTTGTTTCCATTGGTTCATTGCTTGCGTCAGTTATTGGGAATGAATGTGACATTATGAGCTTTGATCCTCATCGTACATCGTTGGACCGCTGTTTTCAACACAACATATTACGATTCCTCGTTTATGGGCATCTGCGCAGTTTATAGCGAAACTAACCGAGGAACGGATTCATGAATTACATTAGTACCGACAACGTTTCCCGGGATCTGCTTCAAAGGAACGAAGCAGTGATCAAGCAAAACTTCAGTGTTGAGGATTCTCCTAAGTCAGCGATTTGGGATTTAATCTACTTGATGCCCGATGGTTGCTCTCTAGTTGTGCACAATAGAATAGGTAAACATGATACTTTAATTATCGACAACACTGCATGAGCTGTCATGCTATTTGGAACTCGATAGTCTGGGTTGACGCGGACGGCGCGGCATCGAACTGGTAATTCGAATTTCTTGCTAAAACATGACTGAGAAATACAACAAATAATCGAAGATCATAATTTGATGAGTAAAGGTGAAGTCCTACTTATCGATGATACATGAA